TCCTGACGTCTTGCCACGGACGTATATACATATAGGATGTAACACGAATAATACATATATACGTCCTATACCCTACTGGTGTGGCATCTCTCTTTTCTCCGTGTGATTTCCGTCGATATATATATATATATACGTTATACAAACACCCATTTTTATACGTATGGGAGAGATCGCTCGAGTGAGCGCGGCTGGCTTTTCGCCTCCCGCGTCTCCTCTCTCGGCTTATCACTTTTATCGGAAATCAGTTATTCCGGCGCTGCAGTGGCAGCAGGAAACGTCAGCTTCGGCCCAATCTACGGGCTTGACGTGAACATTCACCTTCGGAATACGTGTGTGTGTGAAAAAAAAACAACCATCCGGTGACGCTGCCATTTCAATGGTTTAAATACTAATTGTACGTTAAATCCGTGCTGTATATAAATAAATCATGCATGTACCTATGTATTATATAATCGTAGAATTTTGTTTTGGCACATGATTTTTCAATTATTGGAGGGGGGGGGTATAGAGATGTACAAGCCGTATGAATAATATATAAATATGCGCTTCGCTGGATTTCCTCCCCCAACATCATCACAATCAAGGGCGTGTATCATGAAATAGGGTGACAATGTACCCAAGTGTATCGATGTATGGGGCGAAACCTCGTTTACGTCCAGGATAATTGTCGAAGCATCTGCGACGCTCGGATGCTCGTTCGGTCGACGTGTGCTCTACATGATGTGACTCATGCTTTTATCGGATCAACCGTGCCGTGTGTGACTATGTATGTGTTTCGTGAAGATTCAACTATACGTAGCGCTCGATAGCATGGCCAACTGATTGTGTATTTTTATTTTATCAATTTTGCAAAAAAATGTCGCGTTTTTTGCGCTCGTGATGCAGATATATAGTTTTGGCGTATAGTGTGGTGTAATTGTAAATGATATGTGATTATCATTTTTCCCGTGAGTTTTTCTTTTAATTGCATATACATCGATACCGCGGATAAAAATAATGTGCAGTAGTTTGAGTCTCCGTTTTGGAAGATGATAACTCGGATATTGTGCTTTTTTTCTTTCTTTGATCTCGTCTTTTATTTCTGTACTCTCGATTCCCGCGAAGTATACTACAATATCTCTATATGAGCGATACAGTAATCAACTTTATAATAGTTTTATATCCGTGAAGATGACCAACAATCATATACTAATGTACTTTTTAAGGGATATCATACAGGTGTGGAAAAAATTAAAAAAAAAAAACTTTTAAGTAAAATAACAGATAATCCACTTGCGGAAAAAAAAGTTTTGTCCACTTTTTAATGATGGAAGATTTCTCGTTGTAAATAAAATGAAAATGATCGATAACCACGAAGAAAATCGGCCAGAGTCAATACCCAAGCCCTGATGCGTCACGCGTTCATATGGCAGCGAACAATGCGCATCCTGTGATGCCTGCGACGTGATTTTTTTCCCGGTGCATTTGATCATTATTATTATTATTATTATTTATTTTTATTTTTTTTTTTTTTTCAAAACATTTTTCCCAACCATTGGACCACCACGAGTTTCAAGTATATACACGTCATCGGTAAAAAATAACTTTTTCCTACGCCATCGCCTATACAAGTTGCTTTTAGTACATTTGGCTTATATTAGCGAGTCAAAACATCCGTGTCGAGTAATTTTACCGCATAAACCATAATAACCGTAGTATAACTGTTATAACATACAAATATCAAATATCAGTCGTAGCAAACGTGAGATCCGATACTTCAATGGTTTTCGGACGAAACAAACACATTATTTCGCCCAGAGGTGTCAACCGAGCGAGAGAAACGAATTTTCTTGTTTTTCTGCTTCTTCTCATTTTTTTTTTTTTTTCTTCAAACCTCGAGCGACAGTCTTGAGCAGCTGCGTCTCGAGCAGCCGACCCTGAATAGAACGAGACGAGTACAGTCGGTCGCAAAATTTTCACACCGCTCGTTTTGTTTACGCGCCGAATCGCTTCGGACTAAACATTATCGAAAGCAACGTAACGCATTGTTGGCTTTTTTTTTTTTTTTTTTACTTTTTTTATATACTTCACTCATACAACTATTCGGCCGAACGATTGCAATTGTAATCGAAAGTGTGGTTTACAATCGTCGACACGATTGTTTTTTTACAGTTAATTTTTGACGTTATCAGTGTCGTTGTTATGATTTATACTCGTCCTGTAAGCGATTGCTCACGTCAATTTTTTATACAATCTATCATTACCAATAAAAACCCAACCCAACTATTAAACGTTACCTGTACTTGTATATCATCGGTATACGTGTATCAATAACGTGTGCGCTCAAAGAGAAAAAGACCGTACATTATACAGAAGGAAGAAAAGCAAATATATATGTACAAAGAGAAAAAGGACGAACGAAAAAAAAAAAAAAAAAAGAGGTAAATGAAAGGTACGTATACATATAGTGAGCGCGAGGATGCAATAACTAACGAGTGTAGTGCAGTACAATCTTAATGGGGTAATGGGTGAAATACGCGGGAAAGAGCGAAGGTCGGTAGAGGGGAGCTAATAGAATAATGGAAATGCGAAAAGATGCGGTGAACGGGGCGGAGGGAATGAAGGAGGAGATCGTGACTGTATATATTATACGCGTGCACCACACACTAATACCCTATACATGTACATCGGATAAGTGTCAGTGTGTGTATGTGTATACATACATATTGTATACACCTTTACTATACCTGCCTCAATTCGTTTCGCGCGGCTCGACTTCGCGCCGCGATTTGATCGATTTAGCGAGAGGGACGGCCAGAAGAGCGCGGGAGATGGAGAGGATGCCGGTTTTCTATCTCTCGGTTGTATCGAGCGTGCATACATATACATACATATACATGTATATATATATACACAGTTCTCGTATTAGTCAAATTAGGCAAGCTCACGGTAGCCCGAGCTATTTGCGGATAGATTTAGTGCACGTCACTTTGCTTACCAATTAGTAAAAGGGATGCGCTCGCCGCTAAGATACGGTCTGTATGTATATATGTATATACGGTTCTCCTGTGCCGCAGGTTTCATTTTCGTATACGCGTATGTGTATATGTATATATTCAAGCAATGAGCGTGGCTAGATTTGTTGCGTCGATAAGACACAATTATCGCATTTACATGCTCTTACGCTGGATAATACTTATGTATAATATTTCCGTTTTTTTTTTGTTTTTTTTTCTTTTTTTTTAATATAATCTGATCGGGTGGATTACACGGTCACAGCGATCGAGAAACGGAAAAAATTGGGGATTTTTACTGGAGTGATTGTTATCAATGCACTTAATATCAGTACGTAAATGTAGGTAAAAACTTATACATTAGCAAAATTTCTGACCATGCGAATCGTGAAGTATAGAGGCATTGTATTTTAATGTCACCCGTAAACAATGACGTGTATTTTGCTTAAACAGCTGACATGTGGTCAAAAACAAACAAGACAAAGGGCCACATTGTACAAGAGCGCGACACTCGAATCTTTGCTTAGAGAGATGATGGTAAAGATTACGGCGACTGATAACAACAGTATCGTTGTATGTGTGGTGTACGTTGTATCAGTTGACGTACGTTGTACATAAATATATTACGACCGTGTGAAACTGAATATCTTGATGCTTGGGGAGTGTGTCATGTGTACACAACATGTGAAACTCGCGGGCGCCTAATCAAAAACAGCTTGCACGTGGCTTCGGGCGCCGATAGTGGACCACGCGGTATCTACTATACACATATATACCACGTTAAGTACACCTCCAAACGTTTCGAATGCTCGATTGACAATTGCCTGTTATAATTACTTAGCTCTATAACCATTGCTATTTTTTAACAATGTTGAGTTACTTTTATTTGCACAACTTTCGCTTCTATATTGTACAGTCCGTTATTACATGCTTTAGATTTATTCGAAACAACATCTCCCGTTCGATTACATCGCACACAAGTGCTCAATGTCAGCTGTACAGCCGAGCGAGCAATCGATCTACACCCGAACGAATTATCGTTCCAATGACCGCACCTACATTACACGACCCCCCCCTCCCCCCTTGGCAGCTAAAAAAAAAAGCTCCAACGAAATATTAACTATAAATCTGGGTATAGTGTATAGCTTGCATGGGCACTCGAGTAAAAAATGAGAGACGATGAAGCATGATAATCGAAGCGCGTTGAAAGCACCGCTCTCGGCGTCACCGTTGATGATTTTTTTTTTTTTTTTTTTTTTTCACGACTCCGATGCAGCCGCGGTTCACGTGATAACGCCGGCATCGGATGGTCATCGCGATATATATATATACGTAAGGCCGAACTCTATAACTCGCTGCGTATGTGGAGCCCATGAGCTGTTGCGATGTGTGTGTATATAATATACTTATGTACCGAGAAGCCCCAACGAGGCGGGTTGTAAGATGTGTACGCACGAAGCATACGTAGGTATATTGAGTATATATATGGGGCCCACAAAAGAGAAGAGCGACGACGAGTAGTCGTCCCCGGCGGCACGAAGAGCGATAAAGAGCGGCCTGTGTTCCCGAGCGGATGAGCGAGGAGGGTGAGGCGCGGGGCGACCCGGCGGGAGCGCTGCAAAGAGAGCCGAGGCCAAGAGCTGAGTGTGTGTATATATATATGTATATAGGTATAGAGTCCTATCTCTCTGTATAGAGAGAAAGAGAGCCCAGCAGAAGCAGATAGCCGAGCGGCGATAGCAGAGCGCGGGGAACGCCGAAAGGAGCGAGGGGAGCCGCCGACCGGAGTAAAAGTCGAGCCGCACCGTACAAGGGAAGGAGTGTATATAGGCAGTCAAGCCGCACACGAATGTATATATAAATGCTGCTACCGCTCCACCAATATATGTATATACAGTGTATACGTGCAAAAGTGTATTATATTATACAAGTACACATCGAGGAGGAGGTGGAGAGGCGCGAGGAGGAAAAATAAAGGGGGGCACGAGACGGATAGCCGCTACTCACCTTGTGGTGTTGCATGATGGCAGTGGCCTTTCGCTTCGCGGACATGATATCGGCCCGTCCCCTCGCAACGAGGCTCTGGAAAATCCTGTTTGTTGCGTTCTCACGCGCCGTCCGTGCACTTTTTTTTTATTTATTTTTTTTTTTTTATATCAGTCTCTCTCTCTTTTTTTTTTTTTTTTTTTTTTTTTTCCTTTTCTTCCCTTCTGGCCCCAACAAAAATACACTGCGGACCAACTCTCTCTCTCTCTCCTCTTATCGTGCGAGTTGCACCACCGGCAACCGATCCCAAAAAGATCGAGGCGCCAAACTCGATCCGCGCGGAAGCTGGATCAGCGGCTCACACCGGCGATGGCTCATCGATCCCCAGCTCCGGTTTTTTATAACGTAAACGCACGACCAACAACAACAACAACAACAACAACAATTAAACAGAACGCGTTCACTGACTTTTAAATGCGTTACTATATAATTATGTACGCGAGTGTACGGGTAAATCGGTGTACGATGACGAGCCGACGACTGCAAAGCTCGCGTGACGAGCGCTCACGGCAAACTGCCGACGCTCCTCGGCTACGATGTGCCTGCACAGTGCTTATACGTGCCGCGGCGGCGGCGCGAGAGAGAGAGCCCCTCCTGTCCCTTGGCTGTGTGCCCCGATGCGTCGGTGCCCGCTGGTCTCTCTCTCTCTCTCTCTTTGCCCTCTAGCCTTCGTTTCTCCCCCCCCCCCCGCCAACCCAACGCTCGATCCATCCGAGGTGTGTGTGTGTGCGCGCCTCCCCCCGGGCCCCGCTGCGTCGAGGTTTTTCTCTCTCTCGACTACCTACTCCCCCCGGCTCTCGACCCTCCTGCCCGGCGTATACATGGCGACGCGTTAAAGGTGGAGTGTACATACGTATATACATGTATACACCCGGAGCTTCTGCGCGCACAGAGAGAAAGATAGGATGTGGTGCGTATGTGGTGCGGGTTTCGTGTGTATATATATATATATACATATATATGCACCCACATGCGTGCGCGAGAGAGATATATATGGGGCGGGCGGGGAGGAGAACTGTCAGCGTCACAGCAGCGCGGGGAGACGGCAAAAGAGAGCCGGGGGTTACACAGGCGGGGGCGGAGGCGGCAAACCCACACGCCTATATGTGTGTGTGTGTATTATATGCAAGCGCTCAGTAGGTATGGAGGTGGTACCGCAAGGGGGGGCGCCCGGCACTCATCGCGAACAAGCGCGTGGGCGAGGGAGGAAAAACAGGCTTATAACAATAATGGCTCTATACATGTATATATACACATGTGCATTGTGCACGTGTTCTCCGAGTTCGAAAGAGATTAGACGACGCAAGAGAGGCCAAAGGGAACAAATGGCCAGGAGAGAGAAAAAAAAGGGCGAGAGCTCTCTCTCTCTTTCTCTGTGCTGTGGACATAATATATTATGTACACCTACACTGGGTATTTGTACATTTGCCAAATCCAGATGTGCACGAAATAATTCGATCGGCTTCGGTATCGAACTCATACTCAACCGAAGAAGCATCACGCGGCTTACTATTCGCCGCATACCCCTTGTACGCTTGGGAGCGCGAGATCTCATCTGATGCCTATGTGTATCTTCATCCTACACGATACAGTTGGCAAAGCGTCTTTCGCAACTTTTTCCCGTGACTCCCTGTGTACTGGCGAATCGAAAAGATTATCGATCGGCGTTATCGACGAGGCACCGATGATAACGCGATCAACGATACCGCATCGGACGCCTTCAGCCGACACATTGCAATCTAGACACTCGGTAAACGTTGAAATGTTGACTGCCGATTTTTTTTTTTACCGATACCCCATCCCAGTAGGTATGGCAAAGACAAAAACACATGGAATAACGCCAAGCCTGATGCTTATTTTTACGTTTCTCTCTCTCTCTCTCTCTCTTCCTCTTTGTTCCCTGTTTCCTATAACTTGTGGAGTTCGGATGACAAGGGTGGCGCACAACACAGAGAGAGAGAGAGAGAGGGATTGTTTCATCTCTCGGTGATTGGACGCCAAGTATAAGTATGTTAGCGCACATGACTCGGATCGCATGTGCGTGTGTAGGCCTGTTGTAGGAACTATAGTTTTCTCTCCGTCGGGGGGTGTCACTCCCCTGCGGCTTCTTCCATACACTCCTCCTTACATATTTTTCTGACTCTCGTCGACGCCGGGGTGGCCGAGAGTAGGCGAGTAGGCGATGGGCAGTGCAGCCCCTTCTAGCCTCTGTTTTCCTCTCTCTCTCTCTCTCCGTCCACCACCACGTGTACTTTTTTTTTTCTTTTTTTTTCCCGTGCTCCCCGTAAGTTGTATCTCTATGAGCGCTCTATCCCCCTTTTGCGGGGGGAGTAAGCGTGGAAGTCGGGACAAGAGAAAAAGGGAGCAAAAGAAGGAGCCGAGGGAAAAAGGCTGGGGGGAAAAAGAAAGCTTGAACGATCGGCCAAGTCCAGTGGTAGATGTACCTATATATGCGTATACATGTATAGGTGGACACCACTACCGCTACCATATAGTGCACCAGCTATACGTATGTATATACATAAATATATATAGGAAAGAAGGGTATGAGAGAGAGAGAGAGTGGTGCGGGTTCGTCTCTCTTCTCACCCTCTTGGCCATTACTCGTCCTCCGCCTTCTTCGGAGCCCCGGTGCCTCCTTCTGCTTGGGTGCTGGTGTCCCCCCCCCCCCCGAGCGGACTCGTCGCAGTCGTCGTCATCGGGCTCTATACGCTCGTGCTGGTCGTTGTCGTCTCATCGTCCCTCCTCCACCAGTCTCTCTCTCTCTCTTTGGCTGCGTCGGCGACATATTATACTGCTACTCGCGCTTGCCATGCCAAGAGCCCTGTTTCTTCTTCTTTCTCCGGCTCTTCTTCTGCCACCGCCCGCTCCTCCTTTATCGTCCTCTCGTCATCGTCGTGCAGCCAGCAGACCCGTGATGCTGCAAAAAGAGTCTCGGGCTTCGTTTCTTTTTTTTTTTTTTTTTTTTTACCTCTCCCGACTCTGATGGCTCCTCTCCCTCCCTCTCGCGAGCTCGACCTTTCGCAGATGCCTCCTCTCTCTCTCTCTCTCTCTCTCTCTCCGACGATCGCATCGGAGCACCAGACTCCGAGACGCTCCCGCAGTAAGACGTTCGCCTTCTTTTCTCCCTGTTTTTCTGCCTTTTTGACTAACCCCCCACCCCCCCCCTCCAAACCCCTCGCACACTCACTGCTTTTTCAAGCGCTCCCTGCTCATCCTCTTTTCCCTGATATGCACACGCCCTCCTGCCACCTCTCTACTACCCCCTTTAAAACTCGAACGCCAATCTATATATATACGATACCTCACATGACAAGTATACAAAAGCTACACACATACATGCAGGATCTCTCTCTTTTTTTCTGATGCCGGTCAGCTGACTTCGCCTAATGGATTCTAAAGATATACTATACCAGCTCGGCTCATCTTATTTAACGCGAGAGTTAAACATATGGATCTGCGTATATTATATCTATCCATGACTTTGTACGCGTGTGTACCGATTTATGCGTCCGAGCGTCGCTTGAACGGTCAAAGAGATGAGCCTCCTTGTCCCTATATATCTGCTCGTGTGAGTTGAGCGTATGGTATGATATTAGTGTGTATACGAGGTATGTGGGAGCTGCAGGGGCAGCCGCCGGAGGGGAAAAAAAAAAAAATAAAAAAATAAACGAGAGCGCGCGCGGAGAGTGTCGCAACGGGCATCTTGTGTAGTGCATCACGAACCGGTGCAACACGTACTTGTATATAGCATATGAGTGGCGAGGCGAGGCCGCGCAGATATGCCATGGGCTGCGCCCAGCAGCAGAGTTTATATGTATATATACAAGCCGATGCACAGAGAGCGAGGAAAAGAAGCTCGCCTCGCCTTGCCGAGTCCCCCTTTCCTTCCACCTCCGCCACCGACTCTTTTCTTTTCTCCGATGCTAGTATATATTTATATATATATATATATATATACCTGATGCGTATATGCAGCGAGTGTGCTCTCCTTTGCTCTGCTGCAGTTGTTATACATTATGTATATATGCGGCCGCCGATGCTTATATTTATGTATATACATATATACCTGATGCACACATGTGCCGGCCACCTCCTCGAGCACCCCGCCGGTCCCAGCTCTCGCGCACTTACGCGCCTGCTGCCGCCTCTCCGACGTCTACCGTCAAACGACCGGGCTGTATATTACACCAATGTACGTGATGTATGGATCATCGTGCACATATTCTAATGCATATTTTCTCCCACCCCCTATATACATGTATAATGCCGGGGTTGTTGCTTACTGCCGATAATGACAGCAGTATATATACAGCTTCGGATGCCCCGCATCGTTGGATAAAACATGTACAGAAGAACCGAGAAGAAGTGTGTAGCGCGCCAATATGCGTGCATGTGTGTGTATAATGAAATAGGTGAGTGCGCGCAGCCTCGGCCAAATGAATGAGCGAGGGGGCAAGGCCCCCGCGCGCCCGTGTATCTATATCCCGAGAGAGAGAGAGAGAGAGAGATCGGCTCATCCGATTCCACGTCCTTATGCATATATATATGTATATATACCCCTCGCGCTCCCGGTTCCTCGTTGCGCTGTTTGATTTTCCTCGCATGTATTTATATAATATACGCTGATAATTAATCCAAGTTGGGGGGTTTTTTTTTTTTTTTTAGCTGCAAGCGTACAAGGATTTGGAAAAGCACATTTTGATTTTGATCGGTATGTATATGTAATACGTATACGCAAAAAACGATTTGCTCGCAAGTATGAGTGTGTGTATCGATACCTCGTTTCCGCTAAACAAGCGCCGCTCGCTCGAAGGTACAAAATTCATCGATGTCACTATTATATAGGTAGTATATACGTGTATTACTCATTACAAAGCAGAGAGAGAGAGAGAGAGCTCATATCTTTCGTTGCGTCGTTTTTTTGGATAGTTGTTATTCACGTATACTCGTACATGGTTACATACCGATAATGGGTGAAACGGTAGTATATACATGTAGAGGATTCTGTGCGTATAATATGTAATCTCTCTCTGGGCGAGTGTATCATACCGATCGTATTTCCGATTTATTTAACGAAACCATACACAAGTATATATATATATATTGTATACCAGATGATCAACAGCATGCCAGGTGCATGCCTGTATACATATAAACGTAAAAAAGTATTTCATATCCTTTGATTATAGCAGTTGTGCGGAAAAACGGGGGGTGGGAGAAGGGAGTGCCATATACGGATTTAGGTATATATACGGTCGTAGAATATATGTACAGAGAGAGAGAGTGGAAGTTGCCAGGGGACCAAGCGAAAGAAATGGAAAAGATGCGGGGAACGGGTATATTGTATATATGTATGTATAAGTACAGTGGGTGGATCGAAAAAGAGCGAAAAGGAAGAGGTGAAGCCGAAGATGAGAGAGAGAGAGAGAGAGAGAGAGGGAACAAAACGAGCCTCCGCTGCAGCCAAGAGATTTTCCTTGTGCGTGTTTC